CGGCGGCATCATTGGCGACGGGCTTCCTGAACTGTCAGCTAGTTGAACGGCTGGATCAAAGGGTCCATCAGGGGCGCGCTTGATGGCGGTGTCGGTGTCCGGGGGGAGTCAGCTGTGCCCTCTGGGTTGGCCAATATGGATGATACCGGGGAGGAAGAGGGTGAGGCAGAGACGGAGGGCGGTAGAGAGAAAAAGAAGAGAAAGCAAAAGAACTACAAGGCATGGAAGTGTTTAGAAAAAAGAAGAAGAAGAGAAAAAGAAGAGAAAGCAAAAGAACTACAAGGCATGGAAGTGTTTAGAAAAAAGAGGAAGAAGAGAGGGAAGAGGACAGCATCCTGACACAGCCCTTTCCTTCAGCTGCCCCTTTCCCTGTGGTCCAAGGTAGAAATGGGAAACAAGTCCTGTTGCAGTGCGAGGGCAGCTGCTGTCAGCCAGTCTCTCTCTTTACCTGGGTCCCGATCTGAGCTGGGCGTGGGAAGCGAAGCAGCCATGGGGGCAGGAGAGCTCCCTCAGAAGGGGTGAGGAATACTACACAGTGTAAAAAAGGACTTCTCTCTTACCTTTGTGACAGCAATAGTAGACCTGGAGATTATTATGCAAAGCAAAATGTCAGAGAAAGATAAATACCATGTGGTTTCACTAATATGTGGAATCTAACGAACAAAATAAACTGACAAACAAAATGGAACCAGAAGCAGACTTTCGGGAGCCAGATGGGAGGTGGGTGGGGTGACTGGGTAAAGAAGTTGAAAGGATTAGCTAAAGAACATACATGCACATCCCATAGATACCTGCACTCTGCGGCCACAGGTCACTGAAGCTTTTTCGTGCATGTCAGCACCAGACTTTTGTGTCTCCCAACCACAGGAACCACATTTCAGGCTCCTCAGAATGGTCCTAGGGCTTGGGGAAAGGAGGTAGCAATTGCTTCAAGCTACTCACAAGCAGAGCATCTCTCTCAAAAAAAAAAAAAGAGCCGAAACCCTTTTGGCTCAGTGAATAGAGCGTTGGCCTGCGGACTGAAAGGTCCCGGGTTTGATTCTGGTCAAGGGCATGTACCTAAGTTGCGGGCACATTCCCAGTAGGAGATGTGCAGGAGATCGAAACAGCTGATCGATGTTTCTCTCTCATTGATGTTTCTCTTTTTTTCCAGTTTTCTGAAATTATTTTTTTAAATTAATCTTTATTGTTCAGATTATTACATTTGTTCCTCTTTTTTCCTCCCATAACTCCCCTCCTCCCAGTTCCCGCCCCACCCTCCGCCCTCACTCCCCACCCACTGTCCTCATCCATAGGTGCACGATCTTTGGCCAGTCTCTTCACGCGTCTCCCACACCCCTTTCCCCCACAAGAGTAGTCAGTCCATTCCCTTTCTATGTCCCTGATTCTATTATAATCACCAGTTCATTCTGTTCATCGGATTATTTATTCACCTGATTTTTAGATTCACTTGTTGATAGATGTGTATTTGTTGTTCATAATTTGTATCTTTACCTTTTTCTTCTTCTCCTCTTCTCAAATGATACCTTTCAGCATTTCATATAATACTGGTTTGGTGGTGATGAACTCCTTTAACTTTTCCTTATCTCTGAAGCTCTTTATCTGACCTTCAATTCTGAATGATAGCTTTGCTGGATAAAGTAATCTTGGTTGTAGGTTCTTGGCATTCATCACTTTGAATATTTCTTGCCACTCCCTTCTGGCCTGCAAAGTTTCTGTTGAGAAATCAGCTGACAGTCGTATGGGTACTCCCTTGTAGGTAACAGTTTCTTTCTCTTGCTGCTTTTAAGATTCTCTCTTTGTCTTTTGCTCTTGGCATTTTAATTATGATGTGTCTTGGGATGGTCCTCTTTGGATTCCTTTTGTTTGGGGTTCTCTGCGCTTCCGGGACTTGTAAGTCTATTTCTTTCATCAGGTGGGGGAAGTTTTCTGTCATTATTTCTTCAAATAGGTTTTCAATATCTTGCTCTCTCTCATCTTCTGGCACCCCTATAATTCTGATGTTGGTACGCTTGAAACTGTCCCAGAGGCTCCTTACACTATCTTCGGATTTTCGGATTCTTTTTTCATTTTGCTTTTCTGGTTGGGGGTTTTTTGCTTCTTCACATTTCAATTCTTTGACTTGATTCTTGCGCTCCTCTGGTCTGCTGTTGGGTGTCTGTATAATATTCTTTATTTCAGACAGTGTATGATTAATTTCTAGTTGGTTCTTTATCACAACATCGAGGGTCTCATTAGATTTCTTGAGGATCTCACTACATTTATTGGCAGTTTTTAGAAAATTATTGAAAGACCTTAAAAGTGTGGTTTTGAGCTCTATATCTTCCATTTCTGACATCTGTGTCCTGTTTCTTTGTCTCCGCATTTTGTTATGCTTTCTTGGTGCACCTCCTAGTGGTCTTTGTGCGCAGTCTTGTTGTAGTTAAGCCTAGATTATTGTAGGTAATACTAGGGGGATTTGACCTCCAGGCCAACTGGCTGTGAGAATCAGCTGTGTCTGCAGTGAGAGAACTTCTGTCCTCTAGGGAGGTGCTAATCTAGCCTTTGCCTGAGGCTATCCGGCAAATGCCTTTGTGCAGGGCTTGGGCGGGGCAGGTCAAACGGGATCAACAGGGTGGGCTGGAGAGAGCAGTTATGGCGGCTCTCAGTCCCGTCCCCAGGGGCTCTGCCTCTCAAAGTCCCAGCAACCGCTGCAAACCTCGGAGAGAAAGCTGCCCTCGGGTTCCGACCGAAGCCAGACAGTCCCGCTTCTCCCGTTTGAGTCTGGGTCCCTAAAGACTCGCCCGGATCTGGAGCTCAGAGTCTGCGACTCCCTCCCGATTGAAAAAGACAACGCCCTCCACCGCCAGCCCGCTCCGAGCATACCTCCTCACCTCAGAATTTGACTTCAGCACTGCACCTCCTCTGAGTCTCGGTATGCGTTTCTCTTTCCTCCTAGTTGTAGGACTTCCACTCAGCCAGTCTTCCTCTGGTTCTGGGTGATGTCCGTAACGTCTTTTAGTTGTATTTTTGAAGTGGTTGTTTGAGGCAGCAAACTCTGGTGTTAACCTATGCCACCATCTTGGTTCTCCCTCATTGATGTTTCTGACTATCTCTCTCCTTTCCTCTCTGTAAAAAATCAATAAAAAAATATAAAAAAGAAAAAAATAGAAAAAGAAAAGTCTCATCCATCCTCTCCTTCTAACCCTTTTTCGTATCCTCAATCTGACTGAGGAGTACAAGGGTAGGGGATCTGTTTTGCAACCATTTCCTGCAGTGTGTTCTGCACAAGTGGATCTGGCTTTGAAATTTACCACCTTTTAAAGGTTCCTGTTTCAATACTGAAATTTTAATGTTAGCATCCTTTTACACATATGCGCTTAACTTTGTTTTGTATGCTTTTGTTTTTGTGCAAATTAATAAAATTAAGTTAAAATGGAGTTGAGAGGTCAGAAGGGGGAGCCCTTACTCTATGTCAATTATAGACCCTCAACAGGAAGAAATAAATGCACCTACTAGCAGAATGGAAGATTTCTTCCCTTTCCCGCAACTCAGCCAGTTAGAAACCGTCACCACCCTGAACACTTTTGCTTTCCTCCAATAGACTTTCATTTAAAACAGCCTCTTCCAATGTCCTCCTTTTTCTCTATAAAATAACAGTCCTCTCCTTTGTTGAACTTGCCTATGGTTTTTTGCTACAGTTTGCTTATCCTCTGCTATTCCCAAATTAACCCATTTTGCTGATAAAATAACTGGCTGTTTCATTTTTATTAAAGTCATTTGTTTACATAGTGATTATTTTATACCTATTTTTGCAACTTCCATTTTTTTTAATTTAAACTTATATTTTAGAGACGCTTATCAGTAAGTGCATATGGTTTCATGTATTTAGAGAAAATTACATGGCCCTAACTTTACTCTGGAAGCAAGCAAAAATAAACAAACGTTTCCATCCAGCTAAGCTTCACCTCAAGATTTGTTTAGATTGATGGATATAGTTTTTATTTTTTTAACAGCATTTTAATGGTTTTTCATTAATTAATTAATTAATAAAACTGAACCCACCGCCTCCTATTTCTAGAGATTTGTTATTTTTCTTGAGTCAGGAGGAAATAGAGTTTAGGACTTATCTCATACAGTTTGAACTCCCTCCCCTCTTTCTATTTTTCTCCCGTTAAGATCACTTTTCCGGCCAACGAGAG